TGGTCATGAACTCCTGGCCTCAAGTGACCTTTCTGCCTCAGCTGCCCAGAGTGCTAGGATTACATGTGTGAGCCTCCCTGCCCAGCCCTTTCATTTATTTTTAATACCACTACCATCTGATTTTCACTTCTTTTCCTTCATTGAAGCTGTCTGGCTAGGTTACCAAAGGTTACTATATCCAAGAGATTCCTTTCTAAGTCACCAAAATTTGATACTGACCTTCGTCTAATAATAGTGTCTTTATTGGTTTCTTTTTTGATTTTCTTCCTATCTCTCTAGCCATAAGTCTCTGTCTCCTTTTATGACTCTTTTCCCCTTATCTACCTCTAAATATTGCTATTCAACACAGTTCTGTCCATGGCCATTTTCTTGCTCTTTTTGGCAATATTAGCCACTTTTATGACTTAAGCTATTACTTATATGATGATGACTTCAAATCTATATCTATAGCCTAGATCTCTTTTCTTTGCTTCAGATAAATATATCCAACTACTCATCTGCATTTGTCCTCACATACTTTTGTTTAAAATTAACTCTAAATCTCTAATATGCCACTCGAAATCTCAATTGGTAGCACTCCTCTAGTTGCCAGAGAAAAAAACCAGGAGTCATCCTATTCTAGATGGTGACCAAAATCTGTTAATCTACTTCTTAAAATTCCCTCCTATTGACTGTGGAAAAGCAGGTAGGTACTCTCATATTTAGCTTGTGGGAATATAAATTATTATGACCATTATTATAGCATTTCAAGGTGTATATATGTGTGTGTATATATGTTTGTTTGTTTGTTTGTTTTTGCAGTTTTTGGCTGGGGCCAGGTTTGAACCCACCACCTCCGGTATATGGGGCTGGTGCCCTATTCCTTTGAGCCACAGGCACCACCCCAAGGTGTATATTAAAAGTTTTAAAAATGTGCATATCCCTTTTCTCAATAATGTTACATTCTAGGAATTTAACCTAGGGGAATATTGGAGATGTCTAAGGTATACAAAGAATACATATATGTATATATATATAAAATACATACAAAATTTAATAAAATATTTACAAAATATCCTCTACATGTTGGCCACCTCTTTGTAAAATTTTGTAGTGAATATGTTGTAAATAAAGAAATAAAGATACATTTGGCTATAGTTTCACATTTTCCCTATGTATAGAAACTTTAAGGGTGACTTTTGGGACACCCTGTATAAAAGAATGAATATACTAGCAAAATTGTATAAATAACCTAAATTTCCAATAATAAAAGAGTCCTTAAATACCTTCATAAAATAGAATACTGTAAAGTTATTAAAATTATATTGTCAAATTTTTATTTTTTATTAAATCATAACTTTGTACATTGATGAATTTATGGGGTTCAGTATACTGCTTTGATATACAATGTGAAATGCTTACATTGAACTAGGTAACACATCCATCACAATTATACTCATTTCTTAATAGATTTGAAATGTACCATTGCATCATGCATATTAGGTGAGGTCCCCCCAAATACCCTCCCTCTTTCCATAGACCCCCTCCTCTCTCCCTCCTTTTCCCTTCTACTTTCTGGACTATAGTTATGTTTTGCCATTCATATGAATGTGTAGGTGATTATATATTGATTTCATAGTAGTATTGAGTATATTGGATACTTTTTTCCCATTCTTGAGATACTTTACTAAGAAGAATATGTTCCAGCTCCACCCAGGTAAACATAAAAGATGTAAAGTCTCCATCTTTTTTTTTTTTTT